ATAGCCATTAACCAGTTTTGTAGCCAGCAGGACGTTTTCGGCCAGAAGTCTACCCGGAAGGAAAGCAGATTGAGCGTTGGAGATAATCAGTGGGAGAAGAGATTTCAGCCTGCCAGCCAAAAGCTTAGAAATCACTTTATACACAGTGTTTCACAGAGATATTGGTCTGAAATCTTCTTCTACGATTTTTTATGGGGTTAAAGAACCATGATACGAGTTCTTCTTCTACGATTGCAAATCACACCTCAAAAAATAGCTTGGATTAATTTCGGGAATACTCTAGTTCATATTAAACATCATATGAACTTTTCTAATTATGTATAGAAAACTTATAAATCTAAATAAATGTAAATAAAAATTAAAAAAATATAGTCAAAAAAGAAGAAGATGATCACTGATTAATGACTTAAATGACCCCCTAGAACCGCATAGTTCCGCCTAGTAACCAAAACGCTTAATTCCAACGCTTAGACCATCTCCATCGACCGTATCTAATGAAAATATTCTGTATTAAATAATATTCAAGAACAGAAAAGTAGGAAAAAGAGTCCATAATCGACTCTAGAATGAGAGACGCTCGTCTCTTGTTTAGATACTACAAACTGTTTCTCAAAAAAACTTTTTTATGACACAAAGCATATGAAATGTAGTTTCTTGGACCGGGATGATTTGCGGTTAGGCAAGGCGGGATCTTATCAAAAAGTTTTCATCTTCCCAGAGGCTTAATGATGTGGATCTTTTTTTTTGATAAAAAAAAATGTGCATCTTAAACATGACCAAATATGGTATTCAATCTTCTTGGAACTACAGTAGAATCTCTATAAATTAATACTCGATAAATTAATAAACTCGATAAAATAATAAATTTTTCCGGTCCCGAGTTGGGCCAGTATACAAATTAATCAAATTCGATAAGATAATAAAATAATAATTTTTTTGAAATTTCTATGTAAAAATATGGTCCCAATAATATCATAAATTCATAATCATATAAATAATATATATATATATATATAAATAGAATATTATATAGGGTAATTTACATAAATGACCCCAAAAAAAATTTTCTTCTAAAAATAGCCCCATATTTCATAAATTCCAGAAATAGCACCCAAAAGTTTTAATTAAACATTAATTAAAACAAAAAATAGAAAATTTGAGAGACTAACCCTAAACGCCTCTGACGCACCCAAAAGTCTCGTTTTCTCTCATCTTCGACCGACGATCTCGTCGCCTCCGCCGGAATCTCGTCACCTCTGCCGGAATCTCGAACACCTCTGCCGGAATCCTTCACGGTTCCTCTCTGTTTCGCCAATTCTTCACGGTTTCCTCTCTGTTTCGCCAACTCTCGGTTCCTTTTTGTTTCGCCAACCCGATTTTCACTGATTCTCCTCTTTTCTCTCTGCTTCATTGTGTTCTAGGGTTTCCTGTAAGTTCTTATTATCTCTTATTGTATTTCAATTTCTCTTCTTTTTTGTGTTTTGAATCGTCTCCAACGATTTGGTTTTTGTGGGTCTTTTACAAAAAGTAGAATCCTTTTGTTTTTAAACTTCCTACGGGAGAGTTTCTAGTCTTTGTCCAGGTTATAAGTAATCATCTCTCTGTGATAAGTTGAAATCGATAAAGATTTTTTTTGCCCATGTTTCATCAGATTTTTAGAGTTATGCTTGCCTAAGTTTATAGTGTAGTGTCATGTTTTAGTTTCTAGTTCTTGTTAGGCTTTTTGATTGAACTGAATCTAACATTTGATAGCTTAATATGTTTCGTTCTTGATGGTTGAGATTTAGCTCATGAATAGATTTTTCAGGTTTTGTATGTTCACTGTGTTGCATTACTTCTCAAAAAAATTTTGCTTGCCTTATGCCTGAAATTCTACACCAACGACTTTGTTTCCTGTAATAACCGGGCCACCACTATTTCCATGGTTGGTAGTTGCATCAATTTGTATAGTCAGTGGTTTAGTGGAACTTTGAAGGTATTTTTCAGTTTCAACTCCAGTTACAACACCTTTTGTAACACATATTGTTTCACCAACCACATTTGAGCAAATCTACTATACATTTTTGCAACACTTTTTGGGGTTCCTAATCGGGTCAAATTTTGTTTAATTTTGACCCAGAAATCTTCAATCGGATCTTTCCTTATTTTTGATAAAATTAAAAAACGAAAATTAATCAATAAAATCTAAAAAATAAATATTTTCTAATATGATTATTCTCTACAATTTTTACTAAAAATTAAATAATCTAAAAATTGTCCATATGCCATATGTATATATTAGTAATTAGAAAATATATCTATAAAATTAAATAATCTAAAAATTATATATCTATAAAAATTGTAGAGAATATGCCATATGTATATATTAGTAATTAGAAAATATATATTTTTTAGATTTTATTGATTAATTTTCGTTTTTTAATTTTATAATATATACATATGGCATATTCTCTACAATTTTATATATGCCATATGTAATTTTATGGTAATTTTATTAATTTTTAGATTTTATGGTAATTTTATTAATTACTAATATATACATATGGCATATTCTCTACAATTTTTATAGATATATAATTTTTATATTGATTATAAAAACACACACTAATTTGAAAAAATATATATATATATATATATTATATAAACTATTTGAAAGCAAACTTTTAAATTGACTCGAATTATATGTCTTTTAAATAAAAGTGTTATTAAAAGAAATAACAAAATTATGTTTAATTTTACGGGACATGATTATATGGTGGGACGGGTCGGATTTGGATTGATATTAATACGGGATAATATATCACGGGTGAAATCCTGGGATTAACAAATCAAAATACAATTATACCATTTTAAACACTAAACAAAACAAATACAACTTAAAATTTTCATTTTTAGTTACAACGCATGTGACTCGCAATGTACAACAAAAAATATTATATACAACAAATTCATCAGTTTATAAAAAGACAAAAAAAATCAAATAACTAACCCGCGGTGTACCGCGGGTAACAATCTAGTAATGGAAGCATAATAAGAGCTAGTTTCATTAATTATCAGCCCTTTAATAAACATGACTTGCTAGCATGATATGATTTCTTGGATGTTATGCAGTATTGGAACTCATTTGAAAATAGAAAACGTGAGCACACACCTATCATATCTCTCTTTTATTCCCATATTATACCCTCTACTACTCCTCATATACGATCATTTGTATTGCTAGCAGATTATTGTCACAATGAACATATATTTTTTAAAATTTCAACTCTAAGTACAAGACCTTTTGTAATTGTCACTATCTAATCATTAATTTAAGGCTACTTTTGTTAACCTTAGCTTCTCTTAGATAGCTTGTGAATCTAACTTTGCATCAGATTAGTTTATCACTTTATATCGTCACATAGGTATAAATTCAAGTTTGTGATTCAAGTTTCTTTACTTGTTTCTGTAGTGTTATTGTCTATTCTGTTTGCTTGATAGAGTTGTTTTAGTTTGCATTCTAGAATGGTCTTCCTGATTCGGGAAGGATTTATAGTAATTCGGGAAGATCTTCCTGATTCGGGAAGGACTTATAGTAATTCGGGAAGGTCTTTCCTGAATATATCTGTTTACTGATTTCCTTTAATTTTAATTGCAGGAAAATGGGAGATTCGTTTCCAACAGATGTCACACTGCCAAAGCTTCTGTACAATATAGGACAGAAGCCAAATTCAGATGTTAGGATAAATCAATGTGCAAGATATGAGTATATCGATAAAGTACAAACCATCCTCTCTTCTACAGAGTTTCAGAGAATCAGAGAATCGTTTTTAGGACCCGTTCTGAAGGCTACATCAAGGGAATTAAATCTGTCATGCAAGTTGATCCATTGTTTCTTGGCGAGAAGCTTAATGACAGTGAAGAAGAATGAGTTGTGGTTTCATTTTGGGGGCCAACCTATGGATACTGGATTGATTTCATATGGTTACTGGATTGAAATGTTCTCCCCAGGAAGCTGATGAAAATGTGGAGGATAATCGCTATGGTTGGGCAAATACCAGTCAGCGACACACATCTGAGGAGCTGTTAGACATATTGAGAAAGACTAATAGGGATTCAGGGGACGAAGATTCCTTCTTGCCATGCTCCTGTTGACGGAGTGTATCTTTCTCAACATGTTTAAAGGCAACAAATTTCCTGCAACTCACCTTAAGAGAGCTCAAGATGTTCATCAATTCCTCAACTATCCACGGGGGATAGATGCTTTCAAGGTGTTGTTGTCCTCGATTAAGTCTATTGTGCCATCTAAATTGTTGAAGGGTAAGTATGATATCCAAGGGTATCTGTTGGCTCTCCATCTCTGGATTCTGGAGTCCATTCCAGTGTTGCAATCAAGCTTAAGCAGAGTGAGTTTGCTCGAGCCTTGGACTGCATTCATTTGTGAGAGGTACACAAGCACAACAACTCCACAAATTCCGCAAATAGAAAACTTAGAAGCTTCAGACAATGTAAGTTCATTCTCTGCTTTTAACTTAATGGAAGAACTTAGAGAAATTCAGGAAGTATTTATAGTAATTCAGGATGGTTTCGGAAAGTATTTATAGTAATTCGGGATGGTGTTCCTAAATATGTTCACTACAGGAAAATAGAGTATCTTTAGCGGCCGAATAACGCTATCTAGCGGTGGAATTTGTGGACTAGAAAGCGCTATATCTGCGCCCATGATAATTGGTCGACGGCTTCCGATAGCGGTTTTTGGTGGTGCTATATTTTGTTTACATATTATAGCTTGTTTTCTTATGTAATTTAATATTATATAATAGCGACTATATTTTTTTATTAATTATCAAATTACAGCATTTGTTATATGCAATTTAATCAATTAGAATAGCATTTATAATACGCAATTTATTCAATTAAAATAGCATTTGTATTATGCAATATATTATGGTTTTCTTTTTGTTTTGGTTTTTGTTTTTTTTTGCACTATACATAATTTTCAATCCGGTTTGACTATACATAATTAATGAAGAATAATACAATTAAATAAGAACTCTAGTTTGACTACATTAGTTTCAAAACCAAACCGAAATAACTTTATTTGTGTCACACAACCATAAATTTCAACTTAAGCTACCTAACATTATCTTGCTTCAGACTAAGAGCTTATCGTTAGGCTCATCAATAGTATGACTTCTACACCTTCATGTCCAAAATCTTTTTCACAGTCTTGATGTTGTTAATTAACCTCTGCATGAAACAAAATTTTAAGAATTTAAGAGCAAATTAACATCATGTGAAACCAGAGTAATTATCATGCTAAATCAGATTAATTTCAGACCAAAATCATAGATTAAGCAAACAATTAAACAACTAAACATCACAGAATAAGAATAAACATCACAGATTAAGCATTTCATTCATAGAGGAAAAATGAATCCTTATCCCTTGCAGATGAATGAGATTTTAGAAAAAAGAAACATATGGAGAGAGAATAAATACAAACAAGTATGACTATTAATGTTTTCACTTAGACTAATATTCAAATAGTGAGATAGAGTCACATCAAACTCTTCATCTAAGCACAAAATTGAACTAAACAGACTAATCATGCTCATCTAAGAGCAAGTACGAATGAATCTAGCTTGAAATTACTTAGGAGAAGACATCAAATTGGTTTACATAGAGACAAAGCCCTCACATTTGAGAAACCAAACCTAGTCAATTTGACTAACCACAATATATAATGCAAACGTTAAGGACTCACACAAAACCAAATCGTTAAGGACTCGCACAAAACGTGTAAAGAAGAGAGGTTGTCAAGACGTGTAGGCCACAAATTTTTTTCTGAAGGACTCACCAACTTGATTCAACTAACGTCTAATTGTTTTCTGAAATTTTTTGCCACAAATTTATTCAAACTCACTTGGAAACCAAAATCAAGACACCCTCACAACAACAAAAACAGAACATGTCTACTAAGTAAGACTGCATGGAGTGCATAAAAACGTTGTATAGAAACAAACAAAATAGTAAGCACCTGCAAGTTTTAACATCAACAACACAAAACCTAAATTAACACAAAACAGTTAAGAAACAAGCAAGCCAATAATGAGGCAATTCGTCGAACACCTGGAGGGCATGAAAAGCATCATCAGAACATAAACCACTCCACTCCTGCCAAAAGCTTCTAAGAAATCAATATAATCCAAATCGATCAAACCCTAACAAAATCTAACCCAAGTGCTCATGAATCTACTGAACCATAACAAAATCATACCTGCGACAAAGATGTTTTGGGGTTTCTGGCCAACGAAATCAAATGCTATGGTTTAGGGGATCTGGACGAGCGACGAAGATGGAGGATGAAGAATTCATAGAATTTAAGAAGAAGAAGAATTTGGGGATAAGAGCGAGAATGACAAAGAGTGATAGAAATTGATAAAATCCAATAGATCTAGGGGTGTATAATCATAGGAAAAGAGTGAATGGGTAAAGGAGAGGTAAGGAGAAGGGAAGAATCAAGGAAGAAGGGAAGAATCGAGGAAGAGAGCGTAAAAGAGAGAAAGAGGATAGAGAAGATAGAAATTAGGTTTTGATTTTTAATTTGAGCTTTTTTTTATTGTTTGGCTAAGTGTTGGCGGTCTGGGCAAATGTTTCGTTAAATATTGGCGGTCCTAAGTGATCCTCTTCAGGATCATCAAACTCAATTCAACTCCCACCTCTTCCATCACAGCTCCAACGTCATGAAAGCTGAAGATTGGCGAAGAGGATCACTTGACGTTGGAGCTGTGATGGAAGAGGTTGCTATGAAATCTTATATGTTCAGTAACAAGGAGGCAGTGCAACTATCTTCATCAGGCGAGTCATTTATGGAGAAGCTTGACAAGCTATACAAGCTAGTTGAAGATGGGTTCAAATCAACAAATCAACGCTTATCAAAGATGGAGAAGAAGCTGAGAATACTTAGTGCAAGAAAAAAAAAAAGATCAGGTAACAGAAGCTTCTTAAAAAACTTTAGTGATGTTATAGAAACTGAAATGAACGGTTTGATTTCTTCTTGTAGAGGGAAAGACCAGAAACTCCATCTCCTAGGGAAAATGATTTCTTTTTCAACAATCCCCCATCTCCTACCGCTACTGAACAACCAGCTGAGAAAGCAGATGAGCAAGCACCTGATCAAACAACTGAGCAACATACTGTCCCTCTTACTCAGACTTCCCAGACTCAGAAGACGATCCAAACAGAGGAGATAACCCAGAAGATTAGTTCTACAAATGAGGTAAAATAAAGATTTCTACAGCTTTCTTAAATCTTAAACTTTGTAAAAAAGCTAACTCAAATAATTACTGTCTTGGATTTGAAGATGAACAAAGATTAGACAAATGCTGAGAACTAAACACAGGAGGTAACCCAGGATATCAATTCTTCAGGAAACAAGAATGAAGATAATGTTGGCAATAGAATGAATCAAATGGATGGAACTAATGAACAACAAGACAATGATCAACATGATGAGGTGAGTTTTCTTTGTTTTACAGTGTTTAGGAACATATTTCCTGAACTTGTTATATTTGTTGCAGAGAGATAATGTTGACAATGGAGTGAATGAAAATGATAGAGCTGATGAACAAGAAGACAATGCTTAGCATGAGGTGAGTTGTGGTTTATAGTAATTCGGGAAGGATTTAAATTGAGTTTTTACCTTCTGGTTTTCATGTGCAGCAGAGATAGAAGAATCTCGAGCAGGAGGCAAAAATAATGAATCATTGCCATGTCCTTTTTTAGCCATTGAACATGTATCACTTGGCGGCACAGAAACTGAGATGTCACTTCCAGTTGATCGATGAAGTTCTTGCCAGAAGATCAAATGTAAATAATTTAGTATGTAGTGTAAGTCTGACCACAGTTAATACAAGAAAGAGTCATATACGTTTTTACTTACCGTTACACACAAACGAATTATTTCAGGATCTCTTTGTTTCTTCTTGATGAAAGTGCAAACTTGGCGATCATTCCGAATACATATTAGTAGAGAATCTTCTAACATCAGCTTCATCCTTGGGGGAAGTTCATAGCTAAGGGAAATATCTTTGACTAAGTCCGAAATCTTCAATAACACTCTCAACTAATCCCTTGTATGAAATATTCTCATCTACCTCACAAAGGGATCCACCTTTCTCTGTGTCTACTAAGAAAACCCACTGAAGCTTTTCATTTTGTTTCCACTTCCCACAAACAGAGTATATCTCCACCATACCTAAAGAAAGCAACAACCAAATACAATGAACAAACTAGAAGATCCATCAGAATTCGTAAAGCATCTACTTATCAACAGTTTCCAATTACAAGTCTCATCTACTTAAGATTTCTAATGCAATCAAGCCCAACAATGAAAAAGGTAAGAGATGAACAATGACACATCAGAATTCTTTGTGCTGAATCAATGAACGCACCTATAATTCGCCTAATTCCACAATAGAAAGCCATAATTCAACAATAAACGCCTAATTTTGTCAACACGATTGGGGAAGATGAAGAAGAAAAAATTGGTGAAAGAGATCGATTTAGACCAGTTTGAAGATCGAAAATAGGTGAAGCTTTCTCCGTCGCCGGCAGATCTCCGTCGCCGGCAGATCTCTCCGTCGCCGGCAGCTCTCTCCGTCGCCGGCAGCTATCTCCTGAAATCGTCTCTGTCCGTCGCCAGTTATCGTGGAGTGCTATTTTTTCCCTTTTGTTTATTAAATTTTTAAAAATAAATGAGTGTTATTTTTGTCAAATAAACTAGGAGATGCTATTTGTGTCACAAAAACTTCATTTAAGGCTATTGGAGACCATTTTCGGTCTAACTTTTTCCGCCAAAAAAATCCACGAAATTCAAGAAGGATATCAAGAAATTCAGAAAGGATTCCTTGAATTTCAGGAAAGGATTCCTGAAAGGATTGCACAAAATTTAGGAAGTATTCAACGAATTCAGGAAGGATTCCACGTAATTTAGGAAGGATTTCATGAATTCATGTCGTGAAACCCTTCCTGAATTACGTGAAATCCTTCCTAAATTTCGTAGAATACTTCCTGAATTTTTTGGATTTTTTTTTGGCGGGAAAAGTCGGACGGAATTTTTTTGGCGGGAAAATTTTGACGGTTTTTTTTTTCGGGAGCAGAAAATATTTTTGCGGGAAATTTTGACAGATATTTTTTTTGCGGGAAAATTTTGACGGGATTTTGTTTTAGCGGGAAAATATTAGCGATGAAGTTGTGATTTTTGGTATCTATTTATAATTATTTATTAATTTAAAAAATCAAAAATAAGGTTTATAATTATTTATTAATTTAAAAAATCAAAAATATAGGTAAATTAATATCATTATAAATTAATAAAATACCATGGCCTCAACATTATTAATTTATAGAGGTTTTACTGTATAAGGTCCATTAATTTACTGCAGGATACGCACAGTGATGATTAAATTATTTAATAGTTGAGTGAAAAAAAAAAAAGAATCCATATACTATTTACATATATGCTTCTTGTCTTTTTCTTTTTATTTTGGTGGGCTGCTTCTTTTTCTTTTTATTTTGGTGGGCTGCTTCTTTTTCTTTATTAATGTAAATTGGACTAAGAAAAAAAAAAAGTAATACTAATAAACAAGATGGGGCAAACGAGAATAACTCAAAACCCTAATTTTCTACTTACAGAACCTGGGGAGATCACAAGAGAAACAATGATGATGTCTGATCTTCCGGTGGATTTGTTAGAAGATATTTTCAATAGACTCCCGACCACGTCTCTGAAAGGACTACGATCCACTTGCAAACTATGGAACGGTTTAATAAAAAGAAACCCAAGATTTCTCGAAGCTGCAAAGAAGCCTCTGGTTCTCATTTTGAGGGATTATAGGGTTTGGCGAATGAGCGTCAATCACGACGTCGCTGCTCCATCTAAAGAATTTGATGGTGCACTTAGCCTAATGGATCCACATTTTAAGTCACAACAAGTCGATATAGCTGGCGTTTTTCACTGCGACGGTTTGTTGTTATGCACCACCGAGGACGATAGACTCGTGGTTTGGAATCCGTATTTAGAGGAAACCAGGTGGATCCAACACAAAACTGATCACAAGAGAGACTCTAAGTTAGCTCTAGGATATGAGTATAACAAGCCTAGTCGTAGCTACAAAATCTTGAGGTGTTGGGATGGTTATGAACCATGTTGCTGCGGTTGAAATCTATGAGTTTTGCTCTGGTTCATGGAGGGTTCTTGATAACGACCCTCTGGACTGCTTCATAGAACCAAATACTGGTGTTTCTTTGAAAGGAAATACTTACTGGATTGCTTCGGATGAAGTAACAAATTTCTTACTCAGTTTTGATTTTACAACGGAAAGATTCAAAAGTTTTTGTCTTCCACCAATTCAGAATTTTGGGAAGATAGTTCTATCAGTTAGAGAAGAACAACTCTTAGTGTTACTTCAGAGCTATCATGCATTAGAGATGGAGATTTGGATGACCGATGATATTGATACTGAATCCGCCTTGTCGTGGAGTATATTCATTAAAGTGGATTTCAAAAACCTCTCGACTTATTATTGTTTTCCGGTTTGCTGGAGTTTTTTGATGCATGAGGGGAAGGAAAAGGCCTTGTGTTGTACTATAGGTTCTTATGAGACCAGCAGGAACATGGTCAACATTACTGGACTGCACGATCAATATTACGCTGAAATCCCTGATGAAGATTCTACAAATTGGCAGCGCCCGATTATCTTCAGTTATGTACCAAGTTTGGTTCAAAGTTAGCAAGGTAGTGGACAAAAGAAAAGAATGGAACTAGTCGGTACAAGTAAGGTTTGTGTTGTAGAACCTATTTTTTTTTTTTCGGTTTCATGTTTCTAGACAATGTCATTTGATTAATTAGTGAATTGATTTAACTTATGATTCATTTCTTCTATCCATTACATTCATTGCCTCTTCTCTTTTTGCTTTTGCCGCCGCTGTCTCGGGAGTTTCTTCTCCTTGTGCTGGTTCGGCTGGCACTCCTTCTTCAACCACAGACCATAGTTTTCTGGTCTTGAGAATGGTTGTCATCTTAATGCTCCAGAAGTCGTACTTCTCCCCATCGAATATAGGAATCACTTGATGTGAAGAGCCTTGCATCGTTTCGGCTTATTTTGCGAAACGTATACGAAAAACTTTTGCCTTTTTCTTGCTGTGATTGTTTGTGCTTTCTCTCTTTGTCCTCTCAATCGATAAGCTCTGATACCATGTTAGTCTTTTGAAGGAATGAGAAAAAAAACAGAGTAAGAACAATGGTTGTAACTTGATCTTTATTGATAACTTGAAAAAGTATTACAACTCGAGTAATATGTTTAACAATCACACGTTCTAGAGTATTTAAACAAACCGAACAGATGTGATGTGTAAATGAAAGAACACAACTCTTAATCTAAAAGACACAACCTTAAAACAGAGTATTTGTGCCTCTTGATCAAGTAACTAACTAATGTGAATATAACTAACTTATACGAGATTTTGATTATAGTTCAACAGTTCTTATCCCAACTGACTCGCTTTTGATCAAAGTTTTAAACCAATATGCAAATTTGAACCTGCACTTTGCGCTTGTACTCTGTGAATGTATGTGTTAATAAGTGGAGGAACATTGTCTGCACTGGGGTCAAAAAAACTCTACTATAGAGTCCAAGAAGAAAACAATGGTAAAGGATATATGACCAACAAGAAATTATCAGTTGAAGAGATACGTAACCGAATTTCAATTGAGATCGCTTCGAGATAGAATATATAAAAATAACCAGTTGGAGAGTTAAAGATCTCACATCTTAAGGTTTGAGTCAGTTTAGAGAAGAAGACAAAAGGGAAAAAGGTATAGAATTGTTTTCGTATGTATTTACTCAATTATAAGTTCCTCTATCTGTTTATAAATTACGGGTGTCGTTAGTTGTTTTTCATGTATCGGCTTGCTTTATCGAATTTAAGAGACTGGTAGAAAGATATCCCTAATTAGTTTTAGTATAAACAGAATCGTCAAATAATCCCATGGTTTGTTAACTTTGTTTCTTTCTAGTTATTTAACTTTGTTATTCTCTCTCTGAAGACATTAACGTTTTGCTATCGCATGTATCTTGTAATCCAAGCGAAGATGTCATTATCCTTTTATCTCTGCCTTTACTTGGTTAATGGCTTAAACTGATTCGAGTTTGTCTTTGTTGCATGGGATTGTTATGGTTTGATGGTCTGATTAAGCTTGGGAAATCTTGTAATGTTTGATAAGAAAACAGGTTCTCCAAATTGATGTCGATATGTTAAACCCTCCACCAAAGCTTGAGAAGAGGAAGAACAAGTGAAGTACTATATATAATAAGGTTATATACAACTTTATCAAAAGATCCGCTGTAGCACTTTGGCTTAAGTATTTATCTAGATTGTCTAGAATTGATTTCCGGGTTCGAAGCCCGGCAGCGGAATATATTTTTTGTACGTTTTAGGTTTTTTTGTCTTTAGCAAGAAACCGAAACGGCAGCGTATTGTCTTCTTTTCTCCCAAAACCTTCAAAATGCAGACTGCGCCTAGCAGTCACGTTGGATTTGTGAAGGAAGCTCATTTAGTCATTTGTACTTAGAAAGAGAAAGAAGTTGACTTGGAGTTCCATAGTGATGAGAGATTGGCTATAGCTTACGGTCTAATCGACAACAAAAGTCCAATAAGGGCTGTGATGAATGCTATTCTGTAACTAAATTAAGTGTCTCGTATCTATGGACGAGAAATTATTGAGAGAGAAAACAGTAGATTCCATCACTTCAGATACGGATCTTTTTCTTGCAACAAGTTAAATGCTATATGTAAACTTGTATATAGTCATAGAAAAAGACCCGTTGTAGTACATTGGTTAAACAATTGATCTAGTTCAATTGAACATGAGATCCTGGTTCCAAGCCTGATAGCGGAATATATTTTTGGGGAAAACCGCCTTTTTCAACCTCAACTATTTGCAGGCGGGTTTTTCCAACCCAAACTATTACCCCTAGTCGATTTCAACCCAAACCCAAAATTAATTCAAAATCGAAACCTGAACTAATGCAAATGAGCCGATTTAACCACGACACGGAACGGTGTTAGTTCGGAAGTTAACGGTTACTCAACCTTGGGTAATTCTCTCTCTACAACATTCATCAAACTTTGAAAATAAAATCAAATAACTTTGAGAACTGTTAACTTCCGAACTAACATTGTTTCACGTCGTGTTGAAATCGGCTCATTTACATTAGTTTAGGTTTTGATTTTGTATTATTTTTGAGTTCGGATTGAAATCGACTGGGGGTCATAGTTTGGGTTGGAAAAACCCGCCAGCAAATAGTTGAGGTTGAAAAAAGCCGTTTTCCCTATATTTTTGTTACCTTTTAGCTTTTTTTGTTTATAAAAAGAAAATGAAAAGGCAGCGTATTCCTCTGCCAACAACAATTAGCTTTGTTGTACTACATTGATCTAGTCTTAGTGCTTGGAAATAACTGAGAAGCCACAAAAGCTTTTAGTGAGTACTGTTACCGTTTCTGTTGTGAAGATCAAGCACATAATTAAAAAAAAAACTTATCAATTACAAGGTTCCTGATCTGGAACAATAAATTACATGGAGAATATATGCAAAATTCTAGGACTCTGGCTAAAAATACTCGTTTGAAGCAAAGAAAAAAATACAAGGTTCCTGATCTGAAACACAACACAAAAGTTTCTTGAAAGACGATAAGTTTCTATGAAAGTCTCTATGAAGCTCCGTGCGAAGTTCTCCGCGAAACGGCCTAGGATGATCTTTGTCAAACCCCATACGAAGCTCTTTACCAAGCACTCTACAAAGATTCCTCTGCTTAAAGTTTTCCCTGTGATGAAATGATAAAACCAAATTTATGTAAACCATATAAACACAACAATTGTCTACAAAAACAAACCAAATGAACACAACAAATTAAAGACAGTAAACCTGATCCTTCTTCAACTCATGACTAATTTGGACATGTCACTTTGTTATGCCCTTCTTCTTTACAGTTGGAACATGTCATAACACGACCATGACCTGACAATCTACTCTTCTTTGATGTGGATTCATGAGGCTGTAAAGTTAATGAATCACATTTATTGTTAATATATATATATATATAGTGCAAATAGGAATACAATTCAAGAGGGAACTGCCTCACCATTTTCCTCTTCTTTGGCTTCACATTGTCCATCATACCGCATTCTTTTCTTTGTTACAACTTTTTTAATGTACCCCGCATTCTTTTATCGCCCATTTGTCATTGGAGATCACAATTTCAAAGAAAATCTCGTTTGAAGTCACACTTGATTCTATTTCAAAGATGTATAAATTAAATGCTCCGTTAAAGAGAGAATGTTGAGCCTATGCTGCTTGTCCATGATCCCACAATGTACAGACACCCTTTTTCCATTACCAGCTTTAACTTAACCATTCTTCTTACTAACCAGAATAATGCAAACCTTAAATATCAAGGTTGAACAGAAAGGCCTCTCCTTCAACTTCACTACTAGAGAACCTCCACTAGCTCGATAGGTGAAGTAGGTAGGTATATCTCCACCGGGTAAGACCGTAAGTTGAGTCGATGTCTGGATGATGAGATCTCTTGCTTCTTGATTTAGTTTAAAGCAATTATCAAAGTTGAGACTGATATATGGATTGTGGCAGGAGGAATATAGTCTCTCTAAAGACTCACAATTTTCTGCGAATGGAGAAACTTTTTTTCTTTTTGAATCATGCCCGGTGATGCTGTCAGGAGTATGCAAGAATTCCTTGAGGTTTTTGCAATATGACATATCTAATGTCTCAAGACGCAAACATGACCAGATAAATGAAGGCACCACTTCTATCGCAGTTCCACTGAGATAGAGTTCTCTGATGTTTGTGGAGATCTCAGGAAAACATCTTAACGACGAGCAGCCACTAAGAACAAGTCTATCGAGAGATTTCAAGTTGACGTTGCCCGGAAGAATCTCTAACTTGGAGCATCCTTTCATCGCCAACATCCTCAGTTTATGAAGGTTTCCAATAGAGGCCGGGATAGCCACAAGACTTGAGCATCCATTAAAATCCAAATAAGTGAGATTAATTAGATTTCCAATACATGTCGGGACTTCCACAAGACTTGAGCATTCACTAAAAACCAACACGTCGAGATTAATTAGGTTTCCAATAGAGGCCGGGACATCCACAAGACTTGAGCAGCCATAAAAATTCAAACTTTCAAGCTTAATGGCATTCCCAATAGAGGAAGGGATTTGCAACAAACTTGTGCATGTATTGAAAGAGTAGATATTCCCACCATCTTGATTCATTATGAAATTCCCAATAGAGGAAGGCAGCTCCACCAAACTTGAGCATCCTCGGATATCTAAATCTAATTTAGTTAAATTTCCAATAGAAGAAGGAAGCTCCACAAGACTTTTACAATCCCTGAGATTCAATGTTTGGAGATTAGAAACATTTCCGATAGAGGAAGGGAGCCTCACTAGACTTGTACAATAACTGAGATTCAATTTTTGGAAACTAGTAGCATTTCCAATTAAGGAAGGGAGCTCCACCAGACTTGTACAATAACTGAGATTCAATGATTGGAGATGAGTTGCCTTTCCAATAGAGGAAGGGAGCTGTGCCAAACTTAAACAATCTCTGAGATTCAATGTTTGGAGATTAGTTGCATTTCCGATAGAGGTAGGTAGCTCTACCAAACGGTGACAATCACTGAGATTCAATGTTTGGAGATTAGTTGCCTTTCCGATAGAGGAAGGGAGCTCTACCAAACTTAAACAATTTCTGAGATTCAATGTTTGGAGATTAGTTGCATTTCCGATAGAGGAAGGGAGCTCCACCAAACTTGAACATCCACTGAGATTCAATGTTTGGAGATTAGTTGCATTTCCGATAGAGGAAGGGAGCTCTACCAAACGGCAACAATTACTAAGATTTAATGTTTGGAGATTAGTTGCATTTCCGATAGAGGAAGGGAGCTCTACCAGACTTGAACATCCACTGAGATCCAATATTTTGTGATTAGCTGCATTTCTAATAGAAGAAGGTAGCTTCACCAGACTTGAACAATTAATGAGATATAAGTCTTGGAGATTAATTGCACTCCCAAGAGAAGAAGGGAGTTCAACCAAACTTGAACATCCACTGAGATCCAACTTTCTTAAAGTAGTTGCATTTTCGATAGAGGAAGGGAGTTCCACGAGACTTGAAAAATTACTTAGATATAAGTCTTGGAGATTAATTGCATTCCCAATAGAAAAAGGGAGCTCCACCAAACTTGAACATCCACTGAGCTCTAATATTTTGAGATAAATGGCATTCCCAATAGAGTAAGGGAGCTCCACGAGACTTATGCAACCATTAAGATATAATTCTTGGAGATTTGTTGCAGTCGAGAGATCAGGAAGCTCATTCAAATAATGAGAGGATCTCAAATTCATCCACTTGAGATTTGCAAGTGGCTGTACAGACAAATAACAAGATCACATTTATACACTGAGCATTATAACACATAAAAAGAATACGCATGGAACAAAAAGAGCACATTCCATGCTTGAGTGTTTAATATAATTAAAGAGCGAGTGACAAGATCAGTCAATTAATATTTTCTTTAAATTAAATATTTTTAACCTTAAAAGTGTCACTAACACTATAAACTACCAACATAGTTTTACTAAGGGAAATTGAACAGACTATACCTCGAAGAGTCGTTATTTAGGTGCCCAAAAAAGCTACTGTTTGGCTGGAACTGTGTATGTGGAAATTGCGTATGTACCCCTATATAGCGGGAAGATCTTTTTATACTGTTTGAAATATATTGTGTTAGACGGCCGTATTAAAATCTTAGTAGATCATTATTTGTCTGCGCGTGTTGTATTTTTGGTTTTCCTTTATTTAATTGGTCTTGGGGAAACGAGTCGTCGTTATCCTTTTTCTTCCATATGGAGAGTCGCATCCCTTTTTCGTCTTAGTAAAACACATTGCTTTTCAGAGAATCGAAGCGCTTTCGTCAGCCTATCTTCTGTGTTGTTTCAATTCGCCGTAGTAAAATTCTGTTTGTCGCAGAGCCGGAGTAAATTTCCTATCTATACTGACTAGGTTTTTTCGGAGTCTGATAAGATTTTGTTATATGATTGTCTAACTGCGGTTCACATTTTTCTTGTTAGATGCGAGAGATTGAACTTCCGAATCGTTTGATCGCTGATGGAGAAGAACCCCTTGGGGAAAGTGTTAATGTATACCACAAAATCAAAACACTATGCGGCATTATTGAAGCATTGGATGACGAAGAACGTGAGTATATTGCGGGTACTTCGCTTGGTGGGATTTTGGATTTTCCTAATAAGCCGTCGTGGTCTGCGAGTTTTGGTATTTTCCTTTTGAGTCGCCAATTGGATGTAGCGAAACCCAATGAGATTTGGGTTGTATACGCCGGCACGCCTGTTCGTTTCTCGATGCGGGAGTTCAAAATTGTTACTGGTCTTCCCTGTGGTAAGTACCTGTCTCGGAAAAAGAAGAAGATAAGAGGGACGGCTGGGAAAAAAATTCCTTATTACAGCACTTTGTTTGGGCTTGAAGAAGACGTGACAGTGGAAAGGGTTGTCACGATGTTGAAAAGGAGGATTGTCTCTGATAGAGACGTAAGGCTGAGATACGCGTGCCTGGCCATTGTTGACGGGTTTCTTCTTCCTACCTCTCATTACCCCAAAATAATGAAGGAACACGCTGAGATGTCTGAAGATTTGGAGGGTTTTCTTGCTTATCCTTGGGGGCGGATGTCCTTTGAGATGATGATGACCTCAATTAAAGAGAGGGAAGTTGAGCAACTCGCTACTACTTGTGTCGCTGTTCAGGGCCTGTTATACGCTCTCCAGCTTGTTGTTTTGCAAGCTGCTCCCGCTATTCAGGAAGGCCCGTTGATGGATGAGGTTGTGGGGACCGACTCTGATGAAGATGAAGCTGTTGAAGTCGCTCCTCGTCAGTTGGTTCCCCTGATGCTTGGCAATGCGAAAGAGTTGGATGGTAACTGCTCGGTAAGAAATCTACTACCCGATAATTATATTATCTTGATATCATTTTTGTTAACGTTACTAATCTTCATCTCTGATATGTTTTACTAAGCAGACGTATGTGGAGCCTATCATTTGCCCTGACGTGGAGATGAACCCGCAAGAAGATTTAAGCTGGTCTGATGATGAGGAAGATGTGAGAAATTGATAATATCGTCAAGTTAGTTGGCGAAGGGATTACTTTTCGCAATGAAATGTTCACTGGGGGATGTATACCATCCGAGGTGGAAGTGGGGCCAAAAAAGGTTAAGAGGGGTGGCAAATCCAAAATAGTCCGTGGTAGGAAGCCACAAAACCAAGGGAGGAACCCGGTTGGTCTACGAAGGAAGCATCAAAGTCCCAATTTAGAGGAAGGTCAAGGTTCTGGTCATGTAGTGAAAGATGATTTGTCTCGATTGCTCGATGACAAACTCGACGGCCTAGAAAAAAGGATTATTCAAGGGGTGATTAATTGGTTTGTCAAGAACACTGTTATTGACGTTGACAATTCTAAAACCTCGGCGACATTAGGAGACCCCGTTCCTGCTGATAAGATGAAACAATCTGCTGTTGGAAAAAATGTGAATTCTTCCCCTGTTCACGCCTCTGCTGCTCATGCTATGTATGATTCTTTTCCAGCTGGTGAATATAATATCCGGTCTTCTACCCGTGTTGACGTGATGGCTGGTGTTGAAGATGTAGTGAGTTTCTACAATTCTAATAACGTCGGCGGTGATGGTAATAATGTGGCTGGTGTGCCTCCTAACCAAGATAATGTAATGGTTAGTTGATAATAGCGTTCTGGCGTTACTTTTAATATGTTTTGAAATTTCGAGTTTTGAAATTTAACAGTGTTTTATTGTTGGCAGAATGAAAACGAGAAGACTATGCCACCTCCCGGGAATCCTGCTGATAAGGATAAGGTTAGTTGTTAACATTAAAACATTGATCACTTGTTTCTTATCGTTTTTGTTGGTCTCGACATTGTGAAGCCATTTTTGGCGATTGCATTCTGCCCATTTTTATTCATTTTTGCTTGTGTTGCCCTCTTAATCAATTGGTAACACATTATTTATTTTTGTAGGTCCCATTGCCTGAGGTGTCTTCTTCCTTGCCAGACAGCAGCTTGCAGGTTACGTAGTATAGTTAAGTTTTATGTATTAGATATCTATATTTTTACCTGCTAACGACTAATACGTAATTGCGAATTATTAGGGTGATGACATGGAGACATCGTATCCCAGAGAGTCGGAGGTAAGTTAGATAGGAAATTTCGTCCAGGGAGTACCTTTTTTAGATTATCGGTTTCATAAATTTCTTATTCATATCTTAATTGTTTCAGTCGGGGAGTGAGACTACTCGTGGAAGTCAGGAAGAGGTTGATAATAATGAAGTTACCAGCTAATATCTTTATCCGCTATATCTTTCTCAAACGAATATATGTATCAAGTTATTGTAATGTTGTTACATTTTTGCTTGTTAGGCCCTCAGCCCCCTCCATTCTGATTTGCCACCTACTACAGATGCTGATGTTAGTTAAATGTGTTTTATATTTTATTCGTTTTATATAGTAGTTTAGCAGCTAAGTATTATATGTGGCTAGCTAATATTTAATTCGCTTTCTTTTCTGAAGCTTGGGGATACAAATCTCCCTGCTTCTTCGTCCCCAACATTACCTGTCCTCCCCGATGACAGTGGTGCGATTGTGGGAGCTTCTGATTCTGTCTTGGTAATGGTCGATCTTCATCATTTTTTTTTTATTATTTTTTCTTTTGTTTGGTGGTTTTTCTGATTCTGGAGCCGAGTTTACTCAATTTTCTCCACGATTCCCCAGGTCAACAACTCTGCTGAGGCCCTCGAGCATCGAGCTCACGAACTCGTTTTTCCATTTTTTCTTAACCTTTCTATTCATTTTTGTACCCCCTTCTTTCTTATTTAGCCGGTAAGATCGTTATCATTCATTTATTTTTAATTATTTTATTCTTTCTTCCAGGCAAACAGCAGTCCTTTGGAATCAACCTCTGCAGTCGAGGAAGAGAAGGATTCTGATCAGGTCAGTAGTTTCTTCTCTTTCACTAACTTGCATTTTGGGAAATCCTTATCCGGTGATTTCAATTTAAGGATTTCACCAATTAGTAACCGGTGCTTTAGCAGGTAAGATTGTTATCATTTATTCTCTTTTAATTATTTTATTCTTTCTTGCAGGCCAACAACAATCCGGCAAAATCAACCACTGCAGTCGAGGAACAGAAGGATTCTGATGAGGTTAGATATTTTTGCCCTGTTACAGATTTAATTTGGTAAAATACTTAAATGGGGATATATTTCTTGTTTCATTTTTAGGATTTCACCACTCCACCCCCGTCAACCTAGTCTCGATCTAACGTCAAGGTTATCTTGTAACTATGGTGTTATTGCTTATTGTTTATATTCATCAGTTGTTTCTAATTTTTCATTTTGTAGGAGGTTTTGTGTGCCAAACCTCTGTCCTTTGTTGATGGCAAGGCCGCCCCTGTTGTCCCCTCGAATGTCTGTTTGAAGGCTGGTAGGAGGAGCAAAAGGCTTAGAACCTTTTCTAGTAAATTAGATGAGAGGTTCCATTTCGATAAGAAAATTAAGGGCTTAGTTGGCCACCCTTCCCCGTTGGTAGTAGGAAGTAATCAATGCGTTGACCCTGAGGAACGATTCCAAGGATCTCTTAAAAAACTCAAGGCGACAAGGTTAACTTTGTTACCATGTAATGTTGGTTATCCGATAGTTACAACATTATTCGCTGTTTTTAGGATTTAGCATTTTTTTTCCCTTGCAGTTCTGTTTCCCTGGGTGGGGATATTTTGCTTGCTAACAAGGATATTTTTGAATTGATTGAGCGGAAAAAACATCTCAACAACAAGGTATTAAACCCTCTTCTTTTTATGTATGTATGTTTTAATTTATCATTACCCCTTTTGTTTATTTCTCTTGTTTTCTTTCAAGGTCTTGGATGCACTAATCAAGTTCAGTCGGCATATATTGAGGGTTGATGATGGTGACGGTGAGAAGTTGCGTATTGAAGTCCTCGATTCGAAGTTTGTTTCCCAGCTAACTCGTCTTTATTACAAGTTTTCCAAATCTGATCCCCTTGGAAATTTCATTTTCCCATCCCCATTGATTGATATTTTACGTGGAGCTGGGGATCCTGAGCGGGTTGAATTATTTTCCGAGGCTGATTTTCATTACCTGCCGTTTAACTTCGACAAAAAACATTGGGTTGCATTGTGTGTTGACCTCAATGGCGGCAAGATTGTAGTCCTTGACTCTAATTATCAGCTCCGTAAAGATGCAGCTCTACAATCTGAACTTCAGCCTCTTGCTGTCATGCTGCCTTTCCTTCTCAAACAAGCTGCATTTAATCCGTCTATGAAGCAGTTGCCTGTTAACCCATTTTCTATTGAACGTCCTCTGTCGATCCCTCAGGTTTCATCTCCATTTGATTCTGGGGTTGTATCTGTCTTCTTAATCCATGTGCATGCCACTGGAGGTCTGGAGGAGTGTAATGATTTTGACGTTGGGGCGATTGAGAGTGAAGTGAAAAAGCTCGTTTGTGCCATAATGATTGCCGGTGTTGCTTCCTAACCGTTTTATTAGCGGTCTTAGTTGTTTCTTATCCTGAACCAATCTCTTACATCTTTTAATGTTTGGTTATTGCTACCTTTTTAATTTCTTGGTATGTTACTATTTTTAAGTAATATTTGGAGTTTTTTTTTGTTGTTCTTTTTATTTGTTAACTGGTTGGTTCGTAACCCCTCAGTCCGTATCCTTCCTGTTGTTATGTAAGCCTTTTGTTACCACCTAACAATTGGAGCAATATTTTTCACTAAAACTAAGTGTTTCCTGAAAGCGTAAACGGCGACGTTTAACTAAAAAATAATTAAAATTTTGCACCCACCCTTGTTAAATATCGACCGCAATTTGTTGCTAAAGCTCCTATCCTCCTATTGAAATCCCGAACCCTTGATATAGCAGTTAACCTAAGATATAGCAGGTAAGCTTAGATCTTTTTTCTCAGAAATACTGGGGATAGTAATCTCCCTGCGTCTTCGTCACAAACATTACAAGAGTACATTAGAGACAAAAGACATCCAAAATGACAGAAAACCAATATTCAACAATGACTCAAAATAAGCAAGGACAACAATTACGCAAATCTGAGTCAAACACATGACGATGACTCAACCTAGTACCTTAATGAGACCTACCATGATCAAACAACCAAAAACAAAAAAAAATCATCATCTTATTCATCTTGGACTTGAACTCAGATTTTTTCCATCATAGCATCTTCCACTCTCTCAAAAATCTCTTTCTCAAGCTCCTTCTGCATTTTCTCAAAAATCATCTCGTCGTGCTTCATTGAATTTGTTATGATCTCTTTGATGTCTTCTTACAGCCTCTTAGTTTGCCCATTCAATGTCGATACCTCATCACACAATGCCTCATCCACCCACTTAAATGTGTGGTTATCATTCATAAGCTACAACGAGAAAGACAAGTATAAGTACAATGAGAATCTAAAATAAACATTAGCCATCAAAGTTCAACGGAAGGGTATTACTCTATTTGTTGCAGCATAACCACAACGAAAGTAGCGGCGGTATGGATTTGGGTCGGATTTTGAAATTTTTTGCACAATTTGTTCTCCACACCAACATTTCTTGGGCACGCCTTTCACTCTTTCCCGGACATTTGATGATCCACTTGAAGCTCCAGAGATATTGCTCATGATTAGAGAGGTCGATTTTAGAGATTGATGATTTTAGGTTTTTTTTTTTTTTTTCGATTTGGGGATTTTGGAGAAGAAGATGGAGTATATAGGTACGCGGGTCGGGTTTTAGACATGGGTCGGCTTTCAAATTGTAGCTTTTGTTATCGCGGTACCTCACAAAGTATTGGATACTAAGTTTTTTAGTAATTACTAATTACTGTCTGTCATGTTTAATTGTTTGTTAACATCTATGTTTAAGATTTTATTTTTGTAGCTTTTGTTATCGCGGAACTTAGTAGTCGATATTCAGTTTGTTAGTTGTTTAAGATAGTTTTTTTGTTAGTTGTTAACCATGTTATATACGTTTCTAAATCATCTTCTATATCATGTTTTAAGTTTAATTTTTCTAAATTATATAACTTCTCATTTTATTTCTTTCAGTTTGTTACTTGTTTTAGATATTTTTTTTGTTAGTTGTTAACCAATATACGTTTCTAAATCATCTTCTATATCATATTTTAAGTTTAATTTTTCTAAATTATATAACTTCTCCTTTATTTCTTTATTTTTGTATCTCATTTATAACCATTTTACGACTAACCTTTTATTTGAACTCTTTTTTTCTCTTCTTTCACATTCATTAGAAGGTAATCTTATTCTTAGCGAAGTCGTTGTTGTCTTATCTTTTTAGTACAGGACGCTAGTTACCTTTCAAGTTGCTAAATTTCAAAGAGGGTATATATCGTGGTACATATTTTGTTACCGCATATCATTCAACATAAACATATATTTAACATTCATAAGGAAGGTTTGTTGGGATCGCCCCTGATTGCAGATAATACACATTTCTTGGATCAGGATCCGTACGTATATACATTGAAAATTTTCTGATCTCCGAATTCTTGTTATTTATAAAACATGACTTCTTCTGAGTCTTCTAATCGCGGCACCATCCTTTCAAACCCTCCCTAGTCCAAAAAACAGTCTCCTTCCTCCATCTGCTACCGCCAAAAAACCTTTTCCCTCCTCGATCACTTGCCTCCCTGCGGGACATTATTTTTCAATTAGCACACGTTTCCATGTGTTATCTGATAACACCCCCCTTATCGAATCTACTTGTACTCATAGAGAATCATTGTTAGTTATATATTTTTTACCGCTATCGGTCCCCGACATGTTGCCCTGTTATGGCCAATTCCCCTGCAGCGTGAACACCTTTTCGCCGAAGTTCTCTGGAAAATTTTAAAAACTTCATTATTACATATCACAAGAGCCCGATAACTATATATGTTATTTGTTAACACTCTTATCCCGTAGCTAACTTACCTTAAACTCCCCCCTTGACAGCATCCTTCTTTTTCTTGGGCGACCTGGCGGCCTGCGGACATATGGTGGGGCCAGTTTCCCCCCTCCGATATCATCTGGGGATGGAGTTAGTGTATCCATATCTGGGACCGGCATTATTATGCCTTGGTAGGCCAACCTTAGATGAGGCACTGTGTGATGTATGCCTACCATTGTGTCTACCCGAATCCCCTCTTTTATACCTGCTGCTATTGCGTGGGAACAAGGAATTGTTAATAGCTGGAACTCCCTGCATGTGCAAGTTCTCTCCCACAAGTTTACAGCAAATCCGGAGTCATTTCTATCTCTCACTTCATAATTGTCCTCCCCGATCTTAAGCACCACATATCCAGCTCCTTTCTCAAAATTCTCAATCACCATTACATTCACTTTGGGTGGTAAAATGTTTCCCTCCTGCTGAGCAGCTTCTCGCCTGAGGGCAAACCATGTAACCAGCGTGGTTCGGAGTGATTCTAGAATAGAAATTACCGGATAATCCCGAGCCATTGTTAAGACATTATTTAGCGACTCCGCTATGTTGCTCGTCATGAAGTTAAACCGATCTCCAACGAAATGCGACCTAGTCCAATGCTCAAACCCGATTCCTGTTAGGTAATCTGCGCATGGTGGGTGTATTGCTCTTATCTCAGCAAATATTCCGTTGAAATCACTTAGTCGGTAAGCTCTTGCTGCTCTCGCTACTAGAACACTTAACGCCTCAGATTTGAACATTGCTACAATGTTCCTTTTCAGATGTACCACGCAAGCTGCATGTGAAGCCATTGGGTAAACCTGTACCATCATTACTGAGGCGTTATTTTGTTAATAGAGTATATCCTAGCCATCTCAACAAATGTAATATGTAATTAAATATTTATCTTGCTAATTCGTATATTATCTTGCTATTGTTTAAGTTAGTGCTAAAAAATCAACCTACTAGTCATCTGTTTGAGGATTTCGTCATACCTTACGGATGCTTGTATAAATTGATGAGTGTCTGTCTGACACAAACACTAGATCTGGATCATTAGGTATCGCATTTGTTATCCTCTCCATGAACCATGTCCATGCATCATCGTTTTCGCTGTTCACTATCCCAAAAGCAATTGGGAAAACTTGGAAATTGGCATCCTGAGCGCTTGCAGCGATTAAGCATCCTCCATACCGTCCCCTTAGGTGAGTGCCATCAATCACTATCACTTTCCTCATATATTCATATCTTTGGATGGAAGCGTGGAGTGCGAAGAACAAATACTTAAAGCGTTCCACACCGGAGCTATCTTTCTCTGTCTCCAAGGCCACCAATGAATTAGGGTTTGTCTCCAACAGAAGTTTGAAGTAAGGTTGAATTAAAGCATAGCTCCCCATTGTTGAACCCATCGCATTGTCCATTGCTATTTCTCTGGCCCTCCACGCTTTCCAGTAAGACACATTAAGGCTAAATTCTTGTCGTAGCATTTTCCTCAACTCGTTAGGTCATGGTCCTCCTCCAACTCCAAGATACTTGGTCCGCATCAATTTCCCGATAACCGCAGTTGATGCTTGCTTATGGAAGTCTCCTCGCGCGTCAACACTGCAAGTATGATGGAGAGTCGCGCTTTTAACTTCGAAACGCTCGCTATCCTCTAGCTTTGTTGCGTAAACCCGCCACGGGCACGTGTGACTGACGCGAACCGCTAACAGTATGTTGGGGCATGATTTGGCGTAAATGAAATGAAATTTTCGCCTTATTGCATGAATAGCAAGCTTTGTTGCACAGTCTTCCTTACTTTTGAACAACCTGCCAATGAATATGTCATCCCCTTCGTAGTCTGCATCCATCAGGGCCCGATGCAAATAATCTGTCAATGAAAATAGTAATCGATAAGTTAAGTAATGACTTGATAATACAGTTAGCACATTATTTTCGTTAGCAACTATTGTCGCTATCGAATCAACTGTTATCATCGTAATAGGTATCTATAACTAGGATATGTTATCTGCTACTTTTTTAAGTAAAGGCAACTAAATACACTTAACCTACCTTCTTCTCCCGGGTCGTCAAAGTACGGTGGTGCGTCTCTATCATACATGACTGTTGGAACCGGAGTTTCCTTCAAAACCATCTCCCCCATTTTTGTTCCTACCGTCGCCGTTGATGCCTCTCCTAAATCTTGAATTGTTCTGGCGCCGGGGACTGATACTGCCTTTCTCTTATTCATGTTTGTTGTATCAGTCGGTCCCATACATAGCGGCCCATCTGGGTCTGAGTAATAGTGAGCTAGCATGTCTTCCCCTACATTCAGTAATAACACTCCAAGTTAGTTAGCACGTAACACTACACTTACGATAAGTTCACAGTTATCCAGTAACTTACCTATCTATGACAGGCAGTTGTTGCTCGATATATCTGTGTCATCCATCAGCTCGTCACTCTCGTAGCTTAAGCTTTCAGATAGCTCTGTTGGCGTTCCATATGTTGAGTCCGTTGATGATACAGATACTATCATTGGCCCACCCGTATTTGGTTCCGCACTTGCAAGTGTTAGTTGGACTTCGCTGTTTGGATTTGCACCATCTTTATGTTGATCTCCGAAATCAAGTGCTCTTGCTGTTCTCTTGTCCGGTGTTTTTTCCTCCACTGCTCTGTCTGGAACCCCCAGTGTCATCTCTGTTGCATAAATTTCTCTCAACATCTCAGCTTGTTTATATTTTCTCCACATCTCAAATTCCAAATCTCTCCTTGTCTCCTCGTCAATGGCTGGCTCTTTCCCTTTCGCGCTTACTCCATTATCTGGCTGTGTCATGTTTATTGGATTAACACTTCCTGTCCCGGTCATGCCCTGGTTGTCATTGATTACTACCCCTCCGGCCTGTTGTCTTCTCAACGCGCCAGCCATACCTTCTGGTTGGGTAACTTGTGGGCTACTACTGCCGGCCGCGTTATCTGATAGATTATGGAGTAACATCTTCGTTACCGCAGTGTCCTAGACAGCCCTTGTCTCTGCACTGTTCCAATATCTGTCTGATATCGCCTCTGCGCTCATGCTTCCGATGTCGATGTGGCTTCTGTATGAGTTCACTGTACGCTCTATCATCGACCCTCTCACGATTTTAACCTTCAGATGCATCTCCTCAAGATCTGCTCGGATGGCCATAAACAACGTCATATCTTCGTCGTCGAGAATGTGTATGGGGTTCGCTCGCTGCCAATCTAGTCCCATCATCCATTGCGGCCATTGATAAGACAGCTCGATATCATCCTCCGGTCGGAGATTAAGTTTGTATTTCACTACTTAGACAACTCTTGCGTAACTGTCTTTTTCTCGCAAACGGACGGCTAGACAGAAACCTTCTATCTCGGATACATGTTCGTAGCACCCGGTTTCGTCCTTTTTCCACTCTCCTCGCACAAGCCGGACGACCAGCGACATCTTTCTCCTGTATAAACAGCATGGTAAAAGTTTTGTTAACGACTGCCCTTTTTTCAAAAATAACAAGTAGCTATATATATAGGTAGAAAACCAAAGAGAAATCTCCATAACTACACACCTGAGACTTAAATGGTCTGTCTTTCTTTCTCTTTTAGTTTTTAGCGGTTGCAGTGTTTAATATGTTAGTTGTTTGAGTTCTTCTTGTTGCAGCAATGTCGATATGGAGATAATAAATAGCCAAACATGTAGCTTCCATATCTGCGAAATCGATTACGTATCACATCTAATCATTACTTCTTAACTTCTTTTTTAGTTTCCCAGTGGGCGGCGCAATATCATGGTAGATTTTCCTAGCATTTAATGCTCGTTATCTCGCGGCAGTAGGCTATCGATTCTGTGGGCTTCTAGGGGTAATTTCGTCATATTTAATTTGCAAGAAAATGTCCACCTAAATAACGAAATGAAATGTACAGATCCTTAATTATTTGCCACTGCAGGTATAGATATTTCATTAACCCTTTTACTAACACTTTAAACCTCCAAACTAGCTTTTCTGTTTGCATCGCCATAAAAATTGATGGAACAATTAATTTATGTTTGTTAATATAAATTTATTTAATTTAATTTAAATTTTAATTAATGTTATTAATTCATCATCTTCGACTACTCACCGTCTGACCATAAAATTTTCAGGTTTTTATTCAGTTCATTCTATGTGTTTACCATGTTTTTTCTCTTGTATCTCAGATTCTATGTTATTTGGTTTATATTCTTCTATTTTACACTTCTCTTGTGCTTTAGCCTCTAGTTTTAGAGGTTTATAAGAAAATGTCATGGTCGGACGGTGAGTAAACGAAGAAGATAATTTTTTTAAAAGATTTTTATTAATTGTAATAAATAATAAAATTAATTTAAATTAAAATGAAATTAAATATATTTATATTTAACAAACAGAAATTGATTGTTCCGTCATTTTTCTGGCGGCGCAAACAAAAAAAAGCTAGCTTGGAGGTTTAAAGTGTTAGTAAAAATATATTGTGGTTTATAGTGTTAGTGAAATTCTTTCGAGGTTTAAAGTGTTACCCACTCATGAGGGTTAAAAATGTGATTCTCCCGTTAAATAACTGTAAAAATCTGACCAAATAATAATAATAACTCTACAAAAGAAAACATCTTATAGATTCAAAATAAAACTGAAAACAAAATAAGTAAAATATATTACTTACTTTGATTCCTTCCCACAACTTCTCAAGGTTGCTATTGCTATTTGCTCATGTCTAATTCCGCGAGGAACTTCAGGTTGAAATTGGAAGGCAAACGTGTCGCAGGAAAATAATTCCAATCTAGTATTCGAAGTTTCGGAGAGAGATAGCTTAGAGCATCTCCAATGGTGTAAAAATGGAGCTTTCTTCATAGTTTCTCTCATTAAAAATTGAAAAAAATAAATCATAATGATTTATTTTTGAGAGAGCTGTCTCTCTTGAGAGAAATTTTGCAAGACAAGAGAGACGATGACGTGTCACGTTTTTATTGGTCGGTTCTTTTGACAAAATAGAAGAAAAAAAAAACGCGTAAAAAAAAAAACACTTTGCCCACGATAGCCGATGGAGAGTTCGCGTACTCGGACCCAACTGAATCGTTAACTGCGATTCCGGTGATTATGTCTGGTAACCTTCATCAACGTGTCTTCGTGTTCGACGGAGTCTGTCATCTTTGCCATGGAGGTACAATACTTTTCTGTTTCTCTATTTAGTCGTAGAAGAACAAATCCGCTTTCTCAAGGATCATTTAGTGGTTTATTGATTGATTTCGCCTATTGATCTGCTCTACGTTTGATGAGATTGATTCGGTTGTAGTTGATTTTTAGTCTTGTTCTGCGAAATTGGGGAAAAAACGAGATCAAATTTCACGGGATGGGGTAAAATTACGTGTGTAATCGTGGTATCTGAGAGTTCGTGACGCTGGAGTCATCATCTTTCCAATCAATTTCATCTCGAACAGAATCAATTGGTTGATTCAGAGATCCATTAGAATCCATAGAGATAAAAGAGTGATTTCTTTTTCATGTTTCTTTAGGATGACTTCGCTGAGGTTACATAGTATGAGAAGAAGAAGCCTAAGTCACAGAAGCAAACTATTGCTAAGAAAGGTGGGTGTTTTCTTCAAATATTGTTTGAGATTGATTTGAATCTGCATCTGCAATGAAAAGACTTGAGTTTTCATATTGATTTAGATTTGCTAAGATTATAGTGGCTTAAGTTGCTAAATCAATTGATTGATGATAGTTATACGTTTGTCATACTACAGTTTCTTTTTTCAATGTATGCATATAATTTACTCAACCATCTAGCTCAATAATTTATTCAGAGGACTTATGTAGTAATGTGTACATCTAGCTTAGTTAGGCTTCTTCTTATCCCTTTGCTTCTTCATCGTTGACTCATCTTCTTCCTCTGAGACATGGCCTATCTATTCTTTTCATCTTTCTCTTCTTCTTGTCGCTGACTCCATCTTCCTCTTTGTAGGTTATCACTGTTAGAGTTGAATCCTTTGATCATTGGCTGCTGCTAAAGCTTGAGATTAATGTGTGTGGAGGACTTGTGATACATGCCGCCATTTGATGCATCCATGGAAAAGAAGTCATCATTGGTGAAAATAGAGAAGGATGGTTTGTTTTTTGAGAAGTCATCATTGGCAACATATTGGTTTTGCTGGTTCTCATTAGCGTTACTCATGTTGCATCTAAGCTTAACACACATCAACCATCATTATTCACAAATGATATAATAACTATGTTGACTGAATAATAAACAAGTAAACAATAAATAATAAACATGTACCACAAATAATTTATGAAAATTGTGTACCACGAATAAGTTAGAATGAATGTGTACCACAAAAATATGTTCGTCGAATTGTCTAATGGCGAAGAGGTGGCAAAAAAAAATAGGAAACGAACTTATTTTGACAGAAAACGCGAAGAAGGAGAAAATTTCGCAACAATCAACAGAATAACTAATCGTTTTTTTTTTTTGCAAATTTATTTTCAAATGTATGAAATTATTGTATGTTTAATATGTTATGAATTGTAATATTTTTTCAGTTTTATGAAATAAAATAATTAAAATAATAATTTAATTTTTTCCTGAGAACCCCACAAAGAGAGCCTACCATTGGACTTTGCAAAATTAAAAAAATTTAACAAAAACTCTCATCTCATAAATTTGAAAATTTTATTCTTAAAAAAATGGTGAGAGCCAATGGAGGGCTCTCACCATTGGAGATGCTCTTAGACCATGTGATATATACCATGCATCGTAATAGAATCCTTTTAATCTTAAGAATTGGAGATTAGACATTCTTTCAAAAGCTCTCCCGCTTATATTTAATTTTCTTCCATTAAATCTACAATCTATACCAATAACACCTCTACTACCCTGGAAAATAAAAGGCCAAGAAGAATAAATTAGATGGTTAGTTAACAAACAAACTCAATTTGTAATGAGCAATGCAATGAAATACTAACGGCAAAACTTACTGTTGCCTCATCAGCCAGTAATACTTCACAATTCTCTCCACTATCGACAAAAAATTGGCGTTGTCCAGGCTCATCAAACTGTTTACGAACAATATCTTTACCGAGTTTTACTAGCAGACTATGCATTCCTATTTTCGAATTCTCCATAGATAAAAGAGATTTCTCAGCTAAGACATCAAGTCTGTGCCTCACATTCTCGAAACAGTTCGCAAGATACGCTACAACTTTCTCAAGTTCTTCGTATTAACTCCGGTGAATCGGAGAAGATGAACACGAGCAAAGAAGAATCGGAGTCAAAGAGAATCTTTATTCAACAGTCAAAAACAGAGTTTGTTACAAAAACTTGTTGAAAATAAAACTGTAATCTTAAGCTTATATATACAACTTAATAATCGACATTAAACCAATACCAAGTTAACCAGAGTTAACCGGATCAAACCATCTCCAATACTTCGTGATTGAAATAGCAAGCTATATGAATGAATAAATTTTTATTATCATCGCATAAGGCATCATAACTGACCTTTAAAACACTCACAATATCCGCGTGAAGGCGATTCTTCAAACTTGGTAGAGCATTTTTCCACTCTTGCTTGGATTTTCTCTTGAAGTGGGAGCCCATAACCTTTAGTCCTAGAGGAAGTTGACTAGCAAGATTTGCAACTTCCCAAACAAGTTCTGTGAAATCATATTCAGGGTTCTTCTGACCAAAAGCATATATACAGACCATTTGAAAAGCCTCATGAGTTGATGGAAAATCCACTTTATAAATATGGTTGATCCCATGTGCCTCTAAAACTCTTAGATCTTGTGTTGTGATGATAATCCGACTTCGAGGACCAAACCACCGAGTTTCTTTTGCCAAGGCATCCAGTTGTTCTAACCGATCAACATCATCAAGAACGAGAAATATTTCCTTGTCTTTCAACCTTTCTTGTGCGACTCCTAAATTAGGAACCATGATATCTTTTTGGTTGAGCATCTCAGACAACATATGACTCTGTAGTTTCAATTGTGCACTTTTCTCATCAAGACCAAGTTGTCGATAGCTTTCTTTAATATTGACCATGATTGCTCTCAACTGGAAACTATTAGAATATTGTTCAAACAGAAATCTGGCAATGGTTGTCTTACCAATCCCAGGAGGACCACAAATCCCAATCTAGGCGTAGCAATGGTTCCATCCTTTCCATATGAGCTCCTATCCCAATTAAATCGTCGAAATCATGTGATCGTGTAGCAAGATTCAAGATGTTCGAAATATCAGTGGCTATGTATTCAATCATGGTTGCTTCAGTATCCCTATAAAACAAAGAAATCTATTCATACATCTAGCATATAAACAATAATTAAGAACTCAAGATACAAGTCTCTTGGCAATATATTACTTAAATGCTATGAAGATAATTATAATATGTTCAGAAAGATTAAGAGACCAACCAGTTGCTTAAATGGTAACCAGCGATTGTGGCTACACCCTCCAAAGCATTTCTCCACGTATCAATCTTCTCCTCTGTTTTTCCCTTACAAGTTTCTCCAAAGACCTTCCCAAAAACTCCGGTCTGCTTCTTAACTTCAGTTGGATCAACATCATAGAAAATGGTCATTACAGTTTGACCCAACTCTTTGTTCATGATCTCCACCAATTCATCAAGACACCACGACGAAGAAGCGTAGTTTTTGGAGAGCAAGACGAGTGCAATCTTAGATCCTTTGATTGCACGTTTGAGTTCAGGACCGATAGATTCTCCTCTCCTGATCTCGTTATCGATGAATGATTGGATTCCTTTGATTTTAAACTTCTCTAGAAGGTGACTGAGAAGGCCTTTGCGTACGTCCGGCCCGTGGAAGCTCGGAAAGACATTGTGATCCCAGTTTCGAGACGAAGAAGAAGAAGAAACCATTACTACAATTAACTTAGAGAATAGCTTTAAGATCACAGATCCAAGAACAAAGCTACTAGCTATGTGAGGATAAGCAAAGAGACTTTGTAGCTATAATGCGTAGAATGTTGACTCTATTGATTGGAAGTGAAGTTTTATCTTTTCATGGAAACTATGTGAGCCACAACCTTAGCTATCATGTAGGTTCCACCATTTCTTGGAATTTTCTCTGAATACATGTTCCTTGATATTTCCTCTCACACATTTATGTTTCTCACACCACAACCATCTCTTAAGAGTCTTACCACTACAAGAAGTAATAACTCAGAAATTGATTGTGCGAATTAAATAAGGGAAACAGCAACGAAGAACACAAGCCATTTCAACGAAGCAGTACTGAAAATGAAAGTTTTATATCAAAATCATAGTGCAATAAACAAATCAATCCTTTTTGAAGCCTTTAAAGGTGTATTAGATATAAACAAATTATACACACACACACACTAAGGCCATGAATGTTTAGGAGATTATATGCACATTTAGGATATCCACAACAACCAAGTAACAAGACTTACACATACATTTCAGGCATATGCAGATCCATGATTTAGCATGCATCAGAAACATGTGAAGAAGACTCTTAAAAGTTTTTTAGTGTGTCTTCTTTGAACGATTACCTATAAAATTCTAAACATGTACTTTTATGTTTCTGAACTATTAGTTCAACGTTAACAGTCTGTTAGTTTGTCTTCTTCTCCTCATGTTAAACCTAAAATCCCCAAATAGGAAATCCAAACCCTAAATCGTGTTAGATAAGGATCTTTAGGTTTGTGTGGAAATCAGCCGAAAACATAATGCATTAGCATATTCTCAAAGCTGGAAAACGCCAGAGTAGATAAAAATATAAATGCAAGAGAGTCTAACCAAAGTATGGTCAGTGAGTCAGTGATCTCAAAACACATAAAAGATTTCTCAAAAAGATTCTGAAGTTTCTAAAGAACTTAAAAGACAGAGAAAGAGATCATCATTCTACAGATTCTTGGTTGGTATCAAAGTCTATATATAATTCTTTTAGCAGCGACCTGACGTCCATTGACTCCAGCTTCTCCTCCTCGACCATGAAGAATCTACAGTGAACTTGTTTGAGTAATTTTAAAACATTCGCCAATCCACCGTCTTTTTCACTCTCGTCTGTCTTCTTCTCAGAGTAAGAATTTGACCCTTGGCCACTGACTCTGAAATACTTGTACTTGCTAATCTCTATTAGGTTACTCTTGTGATGGGGCCAAATATCACGCCTATCATCAACAATCACCACCCCACGCTCCTCAGCCAAAACCAAATCAAGCGTCTTCTGATGAGGACTCTCGTCTTTTGTAATCACTCTATCACCAAAATAGAGTCTATTAGGATCAATCAGCTCCAAGACAGCTTTAGCGTATTTGCGAGTACCCTTTGTGTAAACATACATTGTGAACATCTCATTGGCTTCTTTCAAGAAGTCGCGAACAAAGGGTCGTAGCTTTATCAAGCGATCTATGGGATCTCCTAGGAGTCTTATTTTCCATATATCTTCCCTTGTTACTGAACATGCTTCTTGGATTAGATACATCTCTGCTCGGGAGAGACATGGAACCTTTTTCATGTGGAGAAGCGTGTGGTCCAAGTCAAGGACAAGGTGAAGTTTCTTCTCGTTGAGACAAGAGTTATTTGTTGTGCGGGACTTGGTTAATGCCACAGCTTCGTGGCTTAGCTGTAAACCGTTGAAAATATAATCAAATGCTCGCCATTGGCTTTTGTGCACTATTGATTTGCAGCCGATGCAGACTCCATGAAAACCGTACCAGTGACCACAACAACTACTAGAAGTGGTTACGAACATGATTTTTTTTCTGATCGATAGAAGACCCTAGTTTGATCAGAAACCCTAGTTTGACGAGAGAGATAATTCAATTTGAGGTTTAAAGGGAAGTCATGTCAATTAGGGGTAAAGCCCGCGAGCTGGCCCGGCTCAACCCTGAAAAGGTTTGGGCTGAAAAATTTCCGGGCTAAAAAAAAATTTCCGACCGGGCTCAGACTGGCCCAAAAAGTTCTAAAAAAATATTTTGACTTTTTTGTTAATATTTTCGTTTAATTGAGAGATTTTTTTTTTTAGATTTTTTTACTAGAGTTAAAAACCCTAAACATAGTTTTTTTATCGTGCCTCACTATAAATCTAAAACCCTAGTTCAAAGTCTTCTTATTTTACATTTTATTTGCTATGAGTTTAAACAATTTATTTGGATTACTTTTTTGATTTTAAAATTGGGAAATATTACAAAGTAGCCAAAAAAAACACATAAATTAAGGAAGTAACCATGCGTCAGAAACTTTTGGTAACTAACTCTTTTTCTTGTGGGGTAGGGGTAGGATAAATACAAAATTATCCTTGTAAGTTATAGTAATTACAAGAACTTTGTCGCTGAATATAAAAAAAGAAGACAGTTTCGTGATATTTTTGAAAATAGCATGTAACATTTAAATTTCGCATGTTATATTTAACTAAAAGACATGATATTTTAAAAAATATAGTGAATTTTTAAGAAAAAACATTGTTACGTAATAAAGACAGATATTCACATGTGATCTTAATAAAACACGTGTATTATTACAAAATAACATGATAAAGACAGATATTACACTGAATATAATGTTTTTTTCGATAAATACTATGTGTTCTTTATAAATAACATGTAGTACGAGAAAAATACATGATAAAAATAGATATATTATGCTATCACATGTAATTCGAAAAAAAAGCGTGTTACAAAGGACATATACTTAATTACACAGCCATTCCGACATATTACAGACATGATACTGTAGCTCATGGTTAGTTTGTGAATTCTTTTTGAATTCAAGGTTAGTTTCTATAAATTCTCTTTAAAATTTAGGATTGAAATTTTTACGGGTCTAGTCGAACAGGATTCAAATATGCGTGTTTTGCGGGTTTCGAGCCGGGCTAGCCCAATTGACATGCAATGATCTCTAGTATAGAAAGATCGTTACTAATTTATGGAAATATAGATTCTCTAAGGGGGTGTTATTCATTCATGGAGTTAAAGTCAATTCTTAAAGGTTTAGATTTGATTTCTGATATTGTTTTTAACAATCTGTTTGTGTGGAGTTCAAAATCTCTGCAGTATATCTAGGATTATGATTCTAATTATTTACTCATGAAATCCAAAGATGTTTCATTTCAAATGATTTGATATACAAAGATTTTACAAGTCTTTTAGTTTTGAATAACACTAGATTTTAATGAAGCATTTTAAATCTTAGTTGAATAACACCAAACTTTAAAATCTATTAGAGTTAGATTTAGAATCATTAGGTTAATAACACTAGATTAGTGTTGGATTTCAATCTATATATAATAGCAATCTAATAAATATCATTTGCACATCTGAACGGTTGCGTCTTTTTATCGCAACCTTTCGTTTAAATCGGTTATTTTTTTATGGTTATATCTTTATTGAATTTTCTCTTTGAATTTTCGTTGAATTATTTACGGTTATATTTGTTCAATTACAGTCATATCTTTTCAGTTTACAGTTATATCTTTATAGTTGCATTTATTCATTTAAAGTTACGTCTTTCCACTATATAATTTCATTGCATTTTTTGTATAGTTAGTAATACTACGAAGTTTTTTTACATCCATTAGACTACATATCAAATTGGTTTTATTAACCAAAATAACAACCTCAATAAATGCATTTTGCACTTCTGAACGGTTGTGTCTCTTTATCGTAACTTTCCGTTAAAATATTAACGGTTATTTTTTCGGGTGTGTTTTTTATCGCAACTCTTCATTAAAATATTGACGGGTTTTTTTCGGTTGTGTCTTTTTATTGCAACTTTCCGTTAAAATATTGGTTGTTACTTTATTAGTTTGTGTCTTTTTATCGCAGTTTTCCGTTAAAATATTGACGGTTATTTTTTTTCGGTTGTGTCTTTTTATCGCAACTTTCCGCTAAAATGTTGACGGTTATTTTTTCTCGTTTGTGTCTTTTTATCGCAACTCTTCGTTAAAATATTGACAGTTAATTTTTTAGTTGACGGTTATTTTTCGGTTGTGTCTTTTTCTCGCAGCTTTTCGTTAAAATATTAACAGTTACTTTTTTTGTTGACGGTTATTTTTTTGGTTGAGTTTTTTTTTTCGCAATTTTCTGTTAAAATATTGACGGTTACTTTTTTCGTTTCTGTTTTTTATCATAACTTTTTGTTAAAATATTGACGATATTTATTTCTCGATTGTGTCTTCTTTTGTCTGTTAAAATATTGACGGTTATTTTTTTCTCGGTTGTGTCTTTTTATCGCAATTTTTGCTAAAATATTGATAGTTATTTTTTCTCGGTTGTATCTTTTTATCGCAACTCTTCGTTAAAATATTGACGGTTATTTTTTTCGTTGACAGTTATTTCGGTTGTGTCTTTTATCGTAACTTTCCGTTAAAATATTGACGGTCATTTTTTTTGTTTGTGTCTTTCTATCGCAACTTTCCGTTAAAAGTTTGACGGTTATTTTTTTCTCGGTTGTGTCTTTTTATCGTGACTCTTCGTTAAAATATAGACAGTTCTTTTGTTGACGATTATTTTTTTGGTTGTGTCTTTTTATCGCAACTTTCCGTTAAAATATTAACATTATTTTTCTCGTTTGTGTCTTTTTATCGTAACTTTTCGTTAAAATATTAACGGTTATTTTTTCTCGGTTGTATCTTTTTGTCGTACCTCTTTGTTAAAATATTTACGTTTACAATTTTTCTTTGATGGTTATTTTCTCGGTTGTGTCTTTTTATCGTAACTTTCAGTTAAAATATTGATGGTTTCTTTTTTTGTTTTTGTCTTTTTATCGTATCTTTCCGTTAAAATATCGACGGTTTCTTTTTCTCGGTTGTGTCTTTCTATCGTAACTTTTCGTTAAAATATTGACGGTTATTTTTCTCGGTTGTGTCTTTTTATCGCAACTCTTCGTTAAAATATTGACGGTTATTTTTTTCCGTTTGTCTTTTTATCGCAATTTTTCGTTTAAATATTTACTGTTATTTTTTTTCGGTTGTGTCTTTTTATAGCAACTTTTCGTTAAAATATATACGGTTACATTTTTTGTTGACAGTTATTTTTTCTGATGTGTCTTTTTATCGTAACTTTTCGTAAAAATGTTGACATTTACTTTTTTTTTTGTTGTGTCTTTTTATCGCAACTTTTCGTTAAAATATTGACGGTTATTTTTTCTCGGTTGTGTTTTTTATCGCAACTCTTCGTTAAAATATTGACGGTTACTTTTTGTGTTGACGGTTATTTTTCTGGTTGTGTTTTTATATCTTTTTTGTTTTGACCCGCTAGAATTTTTCCTCTCTATATTATAACTCTTCGTTAGTTATTTTGTCACTTAAAATAATTTTATATTCACAAAAAATGTTTCAAAGTGTTTTTTAATCATAATTTTTTTTTTTACATTTTTATTCATAAATTTTTTTTAATATCTTTAGAAAATATTTACGATATAACTTTAAGACATAGTTAATTTTATATAATAATTCAATTATTTGAATATATAATAATAAAAATTTAATACATAAACTGAATAAAATATATTTGTTGAAAATGAGTTCCCCGCGATATCGCGGGGTTCATAACCTAGTTCTATTAAAATCCATCATTGAATAACACCACCTAAATCTGACCGACTTTGTTCTAGCAATTTACCATTATTGCGTTTCCTTTTTTTGGGAACTCTTTGTTAATCTTCTGCTAATCGACTAAGAAGAAATAGGAGATATAGTTTGATTCTTGTCGATTGCTGAAATTGATAGGTTCTGTGAGTTTATTATCTCTGTTTATGGTGAATCTCCCGATCTTCAATTAGAAGAGAAGATCGTGGAAACAGTGGAGAAGAATCCGGTGGTAGTTGTAATTGGAGAAACTGGTTCGGGGAAGAGTAATCAGCTTCTCAGATACTTGATTGGCATGGTTACACAACGTTCGGGGTTATCACCGTTACTCAGCCCTAACGTGTGGCAGCAGTTTCCGTGACAAGGCGGGTTCCATCACTTCAGAGACAGATCTCGTTGACACATTGGTCATCATCCACAATAATCATCATTATATAAACCGAGTTAGGTCGAATGATTTAAAGTTACATTTGCTCTGCATATTCGTAAGAGATGAAACGAGATAGAGAGAAACACAACAGAAGGCTCAAGTTTTCGGATAGCCATACGAAAACAAATTGTGAAAAACTGAATCCTACCTACTACTCACCCACCGCCATGAATGGTATTCCCCTGCCAACAACAAGAAGCACCATGATTTCAGATAAAAGTCCATTGTCTCATTGTTGTAGTTATTAAGAGAGCGAGAGTTATAAGGAAAACTTACCAGCCACCATGTCTTGAAAAGTAATCATTATCTAGTGAAATAGCAAGCGTAAGGACAACAGCTCTTTCTGACAAAGTCAATGGCCGTTTCACTTCTAACTCTTCTATCTGTCATGAGTTGCATAAGAAAAGCTCAATCAAATGTCTACTTATAAAGTAAACAACCAATATTAAAAATACAAGAGTCCACGACACAGGAGTAAACCCACCATTGTCGCAGGGCCGGTTTTGGCTGCAGCATCAGCTTTTCCAAATCGGATCACGTACTGCCCAGCATCTGTGAATATCTGTATCACGTATATAAGGAGCCATTTAGATCTTTATATCTACAATGTGTCTTCTAGTCTTACATAGATTGCACTGAAGATATTTCAAAAACTTCAAGGCTTATTGGTCGCAACAATCAACTACATATTCAGTTTTCCTGTAAGAGATTCTTCATTTGACTGATCTTTTAGTATATAACCTTTAGTTAAAGAATACAAACCTCAAAGCCAAAACCTCTCCAATCACGATCTATTTGGGCTAAGACTTCCCCATCAGCATCCTTCACTGTAAATGTCCAATTCCAAAATCCAGGATTTTCTACCACTGCAAACTGGTTGTTCCTGCAAACATCATATGTTTCACAAATTTTGTTCGTCCAAAGATGGTGATCAGTTTAACGAAGAGCAGAACACGAGTTGATTCTTTGAACATCAAAGACGTGCTCTGTCATTGTAAGTCTGTGTCATTCTTAATGGTTATACAAGTCAAACATACATGGTCCTTTCTTCCCAAATAACAAAGAAAAGGATATCTGATAGGTCAATGAAGCATTAAAGAAAGACAATTAAGAAAAAGTGCTTAGAAATAAAGTTTACCCCAGGTATAAATCATAAATTCTTCTCCATAGATGCCATCGTTGGTGAACAACACCAATTTCCTACACCAGTACCAGACACGAGAATGAGCCCAAATTGAACAGTTAACCATTAATTACTGTTCTGTAGGGCTTGAAATCCTACACAAGTGTACCTCTCCATCAATCTCAGCATATATTGAACTTGTGATCCACCAGAAAGGTCTGCGGACCTAAATGATGTAGAGGAATTATTTCAGCTCAAAAAAATTCAAGAATTCTCTTGCCGCAAACTTTCAACCAGCAGAATCCAAGAAAACCTCACCCGGAAAAGCTCATTACCCAAAGCATCAGTTATGGAAGCAACAAATGGGCGCCGGGTACGAAGCAGCTACAAATATTTTTGATATCATATGGGAATGGTTTTTATTAATGTGGTCGACAAAATCACTACTAACACGATATGTAATTGACGGGATACAACATCTCTGAAGTAACACAATAACAGAAATAGATCTAGTCTTAGTGCCTAGGGATAACTGATAGAGGCGACACAAGCTTTTAGTGAGTAATGTTACATTTTCTATTATGATCTAGTCTTTGCAAATTCAGCGCACTTCGTCCAAACATAAAAAATAGGAAACAAAAGACTAGCTAAGAAAAACGAAATTGCAGATGCAACTGAGGAAAAATTGATAGCTAGCAATGAGGAAAAAAAACCACAGTATACACCTTCCTGAGAGAAAGATGTTCAAACAACAAATCAAAAATTTCTGCTGGAGAATCTAATGTGTGAGAAAAAGGTGAAGCCTCGACAATCAAAGTTAAGCCTCGACGTCAATTATTCAAAGAAAGTTCAAGCCTTCACAGTCATATGCTCATATAAGGAAATAGAGTGCAGACATGCTAACCAAGGATACTCACAACTAGTTAGGAATAGCAATGAATTGTGTTGCAACATGCCAAAACTTAAAACACTGCTCATTGGTGACAGCTAATTCAAAGTATTAACACATAATGATATTAGTTGAGGTATGGAGAAAGAAAATTTCAAAGTGAGAATGTAACCTGCCGCGCAATTAAATTGCTTTGTTCCCGGATAGACCCCACAGGCTGTCAAGAAAGTGAGAAAAGAGAGGTTTGAAATTCGAAATTTTGATATGAACTCAATGTCTTATGTAATAGTAGTGCCCTCCACACTCAAAACTTCCGTAAACGAAAGCCCAGAATCTATGCCTTAAGATATCACTTACAGCCTGAGGATAGCAAACATCAACTACAATATAGCGATTTTCCTGCAGAAAGAAGAGGAGAATACACGAGTGATATCAGCTATATGTGGAGAGAAAAGAGATGAAATGGTAGGAATTGAAGGCACAATTGATATGTAAGAGTTTATTTTTTGGTAAAAAAAAATTGATATGTAAGAGTTACAAACATGGTATGATTAATTCATCAGAAACAAGCAACGGTATTACATAATCAAATGAGGAACATGAGAACTGACAGAAAAAAATACCTGTTCAAAACCAAGAACCAGATTTGCCCATTCAATGTCTCTTGTAATCAGCAAATTCGATCGTGCAAGCAGAGTTGCAATTTTCGCCTAAAAAGAAAGTGTATAAGATTATGAATTTCCAACCTCCTACATTTCAAGAAACTCGGGTATAACAGTAGTACAATAAGCTGAATTCCCAACCTACTAAACAAAACAAAAACTAGAAACTAAAAAAAAGATACTTGGCGATGCTTTTACATGCTCTTAAACTAATAACTAAAAAAAGCAAGTTACAGGCACAATTCATACATATATGAACTCAAGCAAAAACTAAAAAGAAAGCAGTTTTATTATGTTATGGTTTCGTAGCCAAAGGAAAGATAATGAGTCACCTCATCAGAAGTTTTAGGCCTCAGAAGACCAGACATAGACTGGCTAACCGGTGGTTGATGCACTGCAGGCTCAACAATCTCACTATGGACATCGAATCCATCATTCACAGTGTAGTTCCTATACTTATAAGCTTTCCGATATCGCTTTTCCATAGCCTTTAGCTTTTTCTTATCTGCAACCCATAGCTGAGCCAAAAACTTCCTATCCAAGCTAGGAGAAGTATCACTGCCACTGCAGAAACATCGAAACACGGAACTTGAGACTTGTTCTCGTCCAAAAAAGCTTCCTTGAGGACTACATAGTGGACTATTTCTCCATAAGATTGCATTTCCAGCTCGAGAATGGAAATTCTTAATCCCACCGTCCTGTGTAAAACAACACACCATCACTTAATCCAATTCAACAACAAGAAGCTGCATAAACTCAAATTACGATTCAGAAAAAAACCAAACCCTAATCAATCTCTATCTGAAGAAAGCAAATTCGAATCTTTTATCCATGGCATTACAAGAGAATAAATTTGGGATGAGAGATTTGAGATTTTGGGTGCGAGTGAATACGTACTGAGTCAAAGAAGGTAGAGGAACAGGAGAGAGCTGCCGCAGCAAGATCGCCGCGGAGATTGAAACCGGATCGGAGAAGAGAAGAGAGTGAGCGTCTAGAGAGGCAGAGCATGACTCGGAACTCTGTAGAAACGTCGGAATATATTTTTTTACCGGTCAATTCGCCGGCTGCTACCAATAATGATGAGCAAAAACGGTCGCTTTGTTCCCCTGTGGGAGCCGAAGTTTTTGTTTTTTTTTGTTTTAGTGCTAAAAGTGCAATTTTGTAATTACCTAAATATGTTAGGCAATTTTGTAATTCACGAAATTTTATGGGAAATTTTGTAGTTACAATATTATCTGAGACAATTTCATAATTAACAAAAGTTATGGACAGCTTTATAATTTTTTTTTTAGAATATGTTAGGCGATTTGTCTCCAATTTTTCAATCTCTCTCTTCTTCTCATGTATCTCAATATATATTGGCGAGAACCTCAAAAGATGCATCATACCAGAAGAAGTGTGAGGGAGATCACATCCTACTCTGGCCAGAATCATACATTAGATCAGTTAACAAAGAAATTTGTGAGGGGCTTTGGATTTACGAGGATGAGCTAATGAAGAAGTGGTATGTATTTTACTCTTCTGGGTTTTTGAAGATATTGGACGAGCTAATAATGAATCTGGTTGATAAGAAACAGATTGATCCTTCTATGCACTTGGTTAAAGTTTAAGATCGATCAAGAGAGTGGACAAAATAGTGTTTACAACAATGGGAGAGGAATTCATGTTGAAAAATACATGAGGGAAATGTATACACTCCTGCAACGGCGAACCCACATTAGGAGAAGGGGTATCACCCGACCCGCCTTAAATATTAAAATCTGGATTTGCAAAAATAATCTGCAGCTTAATTGGTTAAAGTCTGCTCAAAGTACCCCACAACGTGAGTTTGAATCTTCCTTGTGATGCACTTATTATCGCTTTTAATTTATTTTTGTCCCATAATATTTGTTTTCCATCTTTTTCATTGTTTTGCTACATGTATTTTACTTTACTTTTAATTTTATTTTTTATATAAATAAATTAAAAATAAACTATTCTATCAAGGCTATTAAAACGTAAAAATCTAATAACTTGTGTAACTATTTTAATAATAATAATATTTTTTAATTAATTAAATTGTATTTAATATGTTGACACTGGTAAAATAAATTACTGGGTCCCCACTGCATTTCTGAATTAGTTTTTGTCAGCTTTGTAATTTAAGAAAGGTCTAGAATAATTGTGTAGTTACCGAAAGTTATGGAACAATTGTATAAAGAAGAAATTAATAACTGCTTATGTCTAATGACTTTAATATTGTATTTCAATCCAATAAAAAGATTATCGGCATATGAAAATTTGAAGAACCCAAAAACCTCTAAAAATAAAAAATTCCTTATCTTTTGTCTCTAAATCATATGTTTTAGACGATGATGGATGTATGATCTACACTCAAACACATAAAATCATATATGTTCAAAAGATAATGATACAAAGAAAGCAAATCTTCGTCAAAGCTATTGTACATCTAAAGTACAAATCCGATAAAAATCAAATATATTAAATTATAAGTTTGAAAGATTCTATTCGATGAACCTTTATGGGTCAAAAGATCATTCTTAACAGCAAAATACACTTATTAACAAAAAAAGGTCTTGGTTGCATAGTTTTAGACACAAAAACGCTTCAAATACCTTTATCAGTTTTTGATTTTCCTAGACCAGAAAAAAATCGAATCAAATTGTTTCAGTCAACAGAAAAAAAAACAGAGAAATACAAGATTAAGTAACATCTTACCACAATGAAGTTGTCTGATTGCCTTGCCAACAGAAACATCAACATCAGTTGTGTATTGAAAACAGGTAGAATCTTCACCGGAAAAGACAATCTGAGAACATAAAAGACAAGTAAGTTTCACTTAGTATAAACACACTTATTTCACATTCCAGATTGATTGGTTACCTTTAGCTTGTTTTCAGATAGACATTGCACATCTTCTACTCTAAGTTTGCAGCAGCAAACGGTTTGAGCCTCATCACCATCTTGTCAATAAGAATTCAACATGAGATTTCATTTACAAAACATCTAAGTACAAATCCTTACCTTTTCGTATCCAGCTCTAAAAGCCAATCTATCAATGAGATAGATGGCTACAGCAAGTTGTTTTTTCAAGACATCTCGAGCTGCCACATCATTGAGATATTTGGCCCTAATGCTGCCTATATGACCCTGCAATTAGAAAGAGAATGGCTATGAGAGTTCTTAGTTAACTAATTCACTGACTTCAAGAGTGAGACATTGTTTGTAGACATTCACATTCATAGATTTATGATAACCTATATTCAACATTCGAATAAGCAATTGGAATAAACTTGGTTTTCTTTTATCCAGAAGAATCAACAGAACTCCGATTATGTAGATAGTAAAACCCTAAAATGTTCTCAAAATCAATTTGTCAATGTGAAATACTTAACAAAACCTGAAGATTATTTTGACAAGATTCACGTATTAGCTATCAATTTAACCAAGAGCACAGTGACTAATACACAGAAGCTAAACGAAATCAAATCAACAAGAAGATTTGTCAATGTGAAATCCTTAACAAAACCTGAAGATTATTTTGACAAGATTCACGTATTAGCTATTAATTTAACCAAGAGCACAGTGACTACTACACAGAAGCTAAACGAAATCAAATCAACAAGAAGATGTAAATACCATATTCTTAGTTAGGAAACAGAGCAAAAGAGTGAGACATTGAAGATACTCACCTTGAGATTTCTCCCTTTTTCAAATGTTTCTTTTGATAAAAAATTAATTAAAAGCTTAATTGGTTAAAGTCTGCTCAAACTACCCCACAACGTGAGTTCGAATCTTCCTTGTGACACACTTATTATCGCTTTTAATTTATTTTTGTCCCATAATATTTGTTTTCCATCTTTTTCATTGTTTTGCTACATGTAATTTACGTTACTTTTAATTTTATTTTTTATATAAATAAATTAAAAATAAACTATTCTATCAAGACTATTAAAACGTAAAAATTTAATAACTTGTGTAATTTTTTTAATAATAATAATACTTTTTAATTAATTAAATTTTATTTAATATGTTGACACTGGTAAAATAAATTACTGGGTCCCCACTGCATTTCTGAATTAGTTTTTGTTAGCTTTGTAATTTAAGAAAGTTCTGGATAATTTTGTAATTATATAAAGTTCTAGAATAATTGTGTAATTACCGAAAGTTATGGAACAATTGTATAAAGAAGAAATTAATAAGTGTTTATGTCTAATGACTTTAATATTGTATTTCAATCCAATAAAAAGATTATCGGCATATGAAAATTTAAAGAACCCAAAAACCTCTAAAAATAAAAAATTCCCTATCTTTTGTCTCTAAATCATATGTTTTAGACGATGATGCATGTATGATCTACACTCAAACACATAAAATCATATATGTTCAAAAGATAATGATACAAAGAAAGCAAATCTTCGTCAAAGCTCTTGTACATCTAAAGTACAAATCCGATAAAAATAAAATATATTAAATTATAAGTTTAAAAGATTTTATTCGATGAACCTTTATGGGTCAAAAGATCATTCTTAACAGCAAAATACACTTATTAACAAAAAAAGTCTTGGTTGCATAGTTTTAGACACAAAAACGCTTCAAATGGGAAAAAAAACGACGAAGTATCCATGGGTAAACTATAACAACTCTATTTCATGCGTCAAAGACAACTGTTCAATAATAAAAAAAAAGTATATCAAGGTGTATATGCATGACAAGGTCAGCGCGAGTCAATGATGACAAAAGTTGTTTGAGTTTAGAATTAGATGGAGGCTTTCAACTGCAATGTAAAGTTACTGTAGATAGGAGGAGAGACCGCTAAATGAAAAGTGTGATTGTGTTATATTTTATTGAAGAAATAAATCTATGTTGAGCTAAAGAAAAAAAGTTAAAAAGATCAATTCGTCTCTTATTTTTTAGTTTTTAGTAAATGCGTAATTATACATTCTACTAAAGATATAAGCATCATCTTACTAAATTGTTACTCGTCCAAAAAATATATATATTTAAGTATTTAACGATAATTTTAAAATATGAAGCTTATTTGTCACATTATCCTATATATTACATTTTTCGGACAAAAATCTATGAAATGTTTGATCCAACGGTTAGGATCCACTGGATGGTGGGAGAAATGACGTATCCTTCTTGGCAAAATAATGTGTACTTTTTTTCCTTTCTTTTTTCCCCCTTTTTAATTTAATTAGGGACCAAAATATATTGTATATTGCTTTCATAATAAATCACAATTCTGTAGTTTTAAAAAAAAAATCACAATTCTAAATTTCTGACCAACATAAAATCTTTCCTGTTATGAACTGTGTCATCTCATTAATAGAATAAGGGATATATATACAATGATAATAGCAGGATACATAGAATAAGGTAAAACCCTAATGGGCCATGGGCCGGTTATGGAGTCCATCCATATGGTTTATAACACTCCCCCTTGGAAGACATAACCGTGCCCGATACTAAACCGGGATCTCTATAATGCGCTGGGGAATGTTGCCTCATTAAAACCTTACCAGGAAAACCCAGTGGGACAAAACCATGGTGAAGGAAAAAGAGTACAACACGCATTACTCCCCCTGATTTGAGCATCACTGTAGATCCTTAAGTCCGCGCATCCCGATCTGATGAATGAGCTTCCGGAACGTTGAAGTCGGCAATGATTTGGTGAATAGGTCGGCTGAATTCTCACTTGACCGGATCTGTTGAACTTTGACCTGACCGTCCTTCTGTAATTCATGAGTGAAGATGAACTTAGGCAGAATATGCTTCGTTCGATCCCCTTTGATATAGCCATCCTTTAGTTGAGCAATACAGGCTGCGTTGTCTTCAAATATGATGGTCTTTGATGTAGTAGTAGTAGTAGTAGTAGTAGTAGTAGTATTAGTAGTAGTAGTAGTAGTATTAGTAGTAGTAGTAGTAGCTGCGCCTTAAGGAAGGCTGCCTACGTACCCTTGGAAGGGATCAAGCCACACGTAGTTCCTATTCATTGACCATGCCATAATCTGATCTTATGAATAACCTGCATCAGCAAATCAAACTAAACCAAAGCAAACTGGATCTTCTTTGGTTAGATCAGTATAGAATAAACCCAAGTAAACAACGCAGGAAGAATAAACTTTAAAAT